AATGAATGAAAGACATATCCAATCTAACTGCTAACCAACTCTTCTTACATCCTTTTTTTTTTTTTTCCTTCTTTTTCTTACATCCTTACAGCTCCCTACTTGCCAATTATGGTCCAAACTATTCTGACCCATAGCCCTCCCCCGTCACTCCATATCAGCAGGAAGTAGTAATATCTGATATTGATGCCCCTTTATCACTAAAAAGGATGGAATGTTTGGATTAAGCTGAAGCAGCTCAGGGCCCTGCATGTGCTTCCCTGCACATCCCGAGATCAGTAGCAGATGGCGTCAGATAAGATAACCGGTGAAACCAGATGCTCCAAATTTGAAGAAAGCAGCAAGGAGTGGACAAGCAATTCTCGGAGTGTCCAGATCCCATATGCTAATTGTCATAATTGCCTTACATTCCTCACGACCCCTTTAAAAACCCATGACCCCGGCTGCTGAGCACGACTTCCCCGACCTGTTGGCCTAGGTCATGGAACCTCATCTGGGAGCTCCCCCTAATAAAGCCATTTGTTTCTGCTCTCCATTGTCCTGTCAGTCATGTCTGTCTGTCTCCCTGTACCTCAGTTTCACCTTTACATTAAATAAAATGAATTTTCGTATACTATAGATTTAAACAAAAACACAAGAATACTTTAGTATTATCCTTTGTATAATATTGTGGGCAGTTCAGGGCACAGCATGGAATTTTAAAGGTATAGTGCTATACTGATGTTATTGTTGCCAATGTAGTTGATACCAGGGCACTGTTTTCATCTTGTCGATTATAGGAACTTGGGGAGAATATTTAAAAGTTAGAAACATTCATTAAAACATACCCAACCAGCCCACAATAAAATGATTAAAAAATAATAATTATATATACCCAACCTTGTACAGTAGTGAAAGTATTGGTTTTCTATTTCCTAATAGAACATTATTTTATGAAATTCTATGGTTTTGCAGCAAAAATGGCAATTTAATATCACATTCAAGTTTTTGATCCCTAGGACTTAAATTTAAAAAGGGATGGCTGCTTTGCTCAATAAAAAATGAGTGACAAAATGAGTGCATAAGCAAATGTGGCGAAGAAAGCAGATAGTGCCAAGCTATTTAAAGATATACCGTCTGGGGTCTTAAAGGTTTTAAGTTAAACAGGGGCCATCTAGCATGGATGCAACAAAGCCCACATGGAACAAGCATACCAGCCTGTGTGATCATGATCTGCAAACTGGAATAGGCATCAAAAGTTCCAAAACAAACAATTAAATTGACGTGAAGGAGCATAGACTAAGTGAGACCCAAAACCCACCTGTAAGGTAATTGGACAGTCCCTCACAGAAGGGCACATGGAAGGGAAGATATATCCGGGGTGCAATATAGCACTGATGAAACACGTAACTATCCTCTAGTTCTTTAATATTTCCTCCCCTTACAATTATGGTCTTAGTTTAACTTATTAATGTTGTTAGACCTGTGTATGTTCATTTGTATAATTAAGATCACTTAATGCATGAAATCCAAGATAGATAAACCCTTCAGAAATAGTAACAGGAGTAATGATTCCCTGAGGGTATGGGAAGAGAGGTGGGGGAAGGGGCAGAAGGGGGACTCAATAGCAATGATGACTGTATAACCCCACTCAAGGGGAATGAATAACAGAATTGTAGGTGAATGGATACATTGGATGGTGTAAGATATATATATATATATATTCATGGGGGGAACATGGGAGTGGGTGGATAAAGAGAGCTGATATCAAAGAGGTCAAGAAGAAAATGTTTTGAAACTGATGGTGGCAGCAAGTGTAAAATTATGCTTGATCTGATGGAATTATGAATTGTCATAACATCTGTAAGAGCTCCCAATAAAATGATTCTTAAAAAAAGAGTGGCAATCTGGAAACCTTCAAGAGGGTGAGTGAGCACCACTTTGAAATGGTGCTAATACATTAAAAGCAAAAAAGACCACTTCATTCTGGGGATAAAAAGGAATCCTGGATTTAGAAAAGAATGCAGACAGAAGGAAAGGGCAGACCCTTACTGTTGGGTATGGCAGCACAGGTACAGAGAGAAAAGGACACTCGGGCTAGATCATGTGAGGACTTGAACTTCCTTCACTAACCAGAGTAGGACGGGGGGAGCTGTCCTCTCCTTTTTGTATTCACTCACACGCTCTTGTTCCACTCTCAGACCGACTTCAGGGTACACACTGGGATTCATAAGCTTTCAGAATCACGCACACCTCTCGCTCTCCTTTTACTTCATATTGATTTTTGACATTGCTTTTACTTGTTTACTACTCCACCTTCAAGGGGTCTTGGTGGCACAGTGAGTGGCAAAGTCAGCAGTTTGAACCCATTAGCCTCTCCTGTGGCTATTGGTTCCTGTAAAGATTTACAGTCATAGAAAAACTATCTGGGGTCACTATGAGTGGGAATAGATTCAATGGAAGTGAGTTTATCTTTTTTTTCTATTTAACTATCCGGATTCACTGGGTAAGGGCTCCATCAAATGGCCATTTCATTATTGCCCCATTCAGAACACTAATAAAAAAGATACTGCCACACACCGTTTTTGGCAACCGAGAAGGGAACAGGGGAACACTAGCAGCATATTGGGCCTGGCAAATTTGGTTAAAATGGTTCTCTTGCCTGCTATAAAAGCTCATCTTCTTCTCTACCTTCTTGATTCCCAAGGATCATGCTCCTGGGTTCAGTCAGGCTGTGTCCGCTTGGGCTTACCTTCAACGCAACACCATCAAGTTGATGCCAACTCAGAACGAGTCCATCGCGTAGATTAGAACCGCCTCCTGTGAGTTTCCCAGACTGCCTCATTCTAGGAACTGAAAGTTTTATTTCTCCCATGAAGTGGCTGGTGGGTTTTGAACAGTTGACCTTGTGGTCAAGAGCTCGACATATAACTACTACGCCACCAGGGCTCCTTCGTACATGCCACAAGTGCCCATAATTAGGCCACTTCCCAGGTATTTAGTGTTGTGCATATAGGATCTTCACCCAACTTTCCAAGGGAACTGAAGAACATTAGAATAAAATAAGTCTAGATGTTTCCCAGAGTGATTTGCCCTGAAGTACTCATTAATACTTTCTGTGATGTAGTAGCAATACCGCTGGTAACATAAAATGTGATTACATGCAAGAGAATGGATTTTTAATTTTTAAGCTATTTTTCTTAACACACAGAATTACACACAATACAAAATACTTGTTTTACAAGTTGAAATCTTTATAGTCATGGGTACAGTTACAGTAATGCAAGTAATATTAGTGCGTTCACCTAGAGCAGTTATTTATCTTCATTGGGCTTCAAATGAAGTCAAGGATGAATTATTTGCTTAAATTGCATTCTAGTCTTCGAATTAAAAAAGGAAAAATTACTTCTATCTCCTGTATAATATGTCAGGATGAAAAACAATGCCAACAATTAAGTAGTCTGGTAGTTCCATAATTGGGAGATTGTATTCCAAGAGCTCTTAAGTTGTAAATCCTAAGGCTTTGGCTCAATATGTCTATCAAATCGTCCTTATCTCAGCTTTCAGGAAAATTACATCATCTTTGGTAACAGGCTGCCAACAAACAGAAACTATAGACTAGACACCATTCCCCTCCCCCCCAAAGAATCCTGTATTTTAATGAATAGCTGAATAAATAGATATTAATTATGAAATTCACATTAAGATAGAAGAAATTCCAAACATTCTGATTGCTTTCTCTCTCTTAAATTTGATAACTACTACAAAATATACTACTGATGTTAGGGTAAAAAAAGAACAAGCTGAATCACAGGATGTACCTGGGAAGTGCTGGCAGATATATACAGTTACATGGAAGAGCTGTAAAATAAAGGTGCCCATATATACATCATTTTTCCTTTGTTTTTGCATGGAGAAACACTGTTTTATAAAATGGGAAAGCACACAGTAGACCACATGCAACAAGGACCAATACAATGTGCACAGCAGAATAATCAAACAGGACACAAAAACTATATGGGTGTAAAAAGGAATTTAAAAGCCAAAAAAAAAAAAAAAAGATCGAAACCTGGAATGCTTTCTTATTGAGGTTTCATTTCAGAATATAAATTTATCTAATAAGCTTCTTGATAGTTTTTAAAAGTTCCCACTCGGCCACCTGTGGTTGAAGTGTAGAGCTAAAAATAAACCATCCGATTATACAAAACTTTGTATATTAGCATACAAAAGGTAACAATTTACTTTTTGTATAAAATATAACCTTTTGATAGTATATGTATTTCACATATGTATAAATATAACCCAAAGAATATGTTTTAAGTATTTCTACCAAAATATTCTTTACAAAAGTTTACAAAACAAGTAATTTCTTTATATTTACAACCTAGCACAGAAAAGATTCCTGGCCAGCGATGTTGGTATCATGTTAAAGAAGGAGAGTGTATCCAGACATCTTAAAAGTTTGGAAGAGGGCTTTGCAGAACTTTCAGGCTGTGTTCTCTTCTGAACAGACAGGTAAAACCTTGGTTATTAAATGGCTTCGGTTAAATTACATTTGACAACTGGCTATGTGAGCATATAATCCAGAATGCAGAAGATAACCTTTATTCTCTGTGATTAGGAAAATGAAGGCTATATTTTGACCCATCCCAAATCAGGACACGGGCTACCCATTTTACAGATGATCTCTGTGTGGGCACAAGGATTCAATGCCTCAGCCGAGCGATCCTCTTTCCTTGACTCTGTGCTCACCCAGTGGGAGAAAACCTGGAGGTGAAAGGTCCACCCAGCACGGGCCAACTGTTACATACAGATCACATTCTGTTTAGCTATCTAACCAAATAAAATGTCCAAAGAAGAACATCTAAAACATTTTCGTTTTCAATTATTATGCATTCCTCTCAACCACCGGTTCTCAACCTATGGGCCGAGACCCCTTTGGGAGTCGAATGACCCTTTCACAGGTGTTGCCTGATTCATAACAGTAGCAAAATTATAGTTATGAAATAGCAACGAAAATAATTTGATGGTTGGGGGTTCACCACCACATGAGGAACTGTATGAAAGGGTCGCGGCATGAGGAAGGTGGAGAACCACTGCACCTAGCAAATATTTTTGTACTGAGCTTCACACTCACCACTGGTCCTGACCTCTTGCTTCTTATCTGCAGCCCAAACATGATACCTCTAGTTTCAGTTTTGCTCACTAAACTTCCTTGATAAAAATCAGTCTCTACTCATGGAAATAAGTAGAAAGACCTAATTGTGATCACCAGCAGGCGTCATAACAACAAGCAACATCCTAGTTTATTTGTGTAATTAAAAAAAAAACAACCATGAAAACAAACCCCTCCTTTATAGCAATGCCCAATGGAGTATTTTTAAAAAACAATAATAAAATCAAATGCACACACACGTCCACCAATGTTTCAGTAGGATTCGGCCAGGTCTTGGCAGTGTCTAAAACTTGGGAACGGACTCAGAGATTTGTTGTGGAAGCCCAAATAAGTCTCACAGCTCTATACCTTTGTTTCCTCCCTAAAAAAATGTCCTTGTGAAGTATGCAATACATGGGAAAAAGGAACGAGGGCAGGATCTAGGATAGATATTCTATAATCTCTCTCTCCCTCCCACTTATATATGCTCTCTCTCTCTCTCCCCCCTTACTTAGAGTCTGCTTGGTTGTTACCAGAAAATCTGTAACATTTCAGTCTACTTTGGAAGCTTTAAGAAAATTAAATTTTAAAAAATTGTGGGAAGATGAAAACACACTACCTATGAGAGCAAGTTGCTTGTTGGTTGGAATTAGTTTCTCCGCATGGCATGAAGTTTAAACAAGCTGTAGGTTCTATTACTGTTCTTCCAGGGAGGGAGAAACGGAGCTTGGGAAACCCACTTAAAAACCAATTAATTACAGATCAACACAGAGTTCTGTTTGGACAAATTGGATACTGTGTCCTGGAGTTTAGACAGGGAAACGTTAGCCAATGTCTTACTTTCCGTTTTCAGACATAAAACAAGCATGTGGATCAGAACGTTCACCGCCCCAATTCCTTTTTGTTTTCTGTTTTGAGCCATGGTATCTTCACGGAGTCCACGTCAAAGTCAACCGTTTGGCCTTTCCGCAGTCTTCTTAAAATACTGCCTTTTAGTGCTTGAAGTTTGTGAGTCATCTCCCTTTTCTACTTCAGGAGTTGTTCCCCAAGATTTCATCAAGATTGATGTCTTTCATCCAGTCATCGTTTCCAGGCTCTGTCTTCAACAGAGAGTCAATGAAATCAGCATCACTGTTAAGGGCAGGGCCCATGCTGTCAGTCTGTTGACTGAGGAAGTCAAAAGCTAAGTCACTGCTGGGGTCAGTGCCTTGGAAGGCCCTGGAATTTTGGTTGGGAGATGGAAAATTGTTGGATGTCAGGGCTGGCGGCTGGCTGATGCCTGTCCTCGTCGGATTCAACCCTGTTCCCCCCTGGTTCATATTCGGCAATAGCTGTGTGTTTAACTGATTGGGCCTGAGATTCAGACCTCTGAGTGGACCTATAGTTTGTCCATTTAATGTCTGGCTCATTTGGCTCAAGGGTCTCATTTGCACTGCTGGTGTTAACTGGTTAGGAGGAGCCACTGCCCTCTGGGAAAACTGTTGGCTCCCTACTGCCTGTTGCAATGACTGGTTTGGGGTAAAGGCTGCAGGTGTGCCTGTTGGGAAGCGGACTCCTGCGGACTTCAGGGCTTCCTGCTGCTTGGTGGTGGCTTCTTGAGAGGCCCAGTTTGGTGCTGTTGTGTTAGATGTGATCATTACATTTGATGTTCGCTGTGCTGGCACGCTTGCTATGCCATGGGCTAAGTTTGGTCTTAATTGTTGGGAATTGCCAACAGATGTAGTGCCAAAAGTGGCCACGTTGGTGCTATTACTTGGCCCTAAGGTAGGAGGCCGTGACATCAGAGGGTTGCTTTGATTTGCTATCAGTTGGTTTGGGTTCCTCTGCTGGGTCAGTTGATTCATTCCCGTAGCGACATTGTAAGTACCAGGCTGGTTACAAGACAGATTTCCATACATCCCTATATTCTGAACTGATGTGGATAACGATGGCATTCTTGTCCCATGAGACGTTGACATGAGGCTGGAATTTGGAGTTAAAATGCTATGTGTTGAAACTGGGTTGGCCAAAGCCTGGTTAGAGTTTAAACTCACTGTCGTTGGAACACCTAAAAGAAAGAAAGAGAATTCTCTGAGTTCATAACAGTAGGTTATATCCTCTTATAACAATGTGCAGGAAAGTAACACTTCAACTCTGAGACCACTTTCAGGTGTAAGAACAAGTAATGAGAAATCAACAATACAACATATTAAAGGAATAAGACAATGTTGCTACTACTTCTGGAAGAAGTATCCCTCTAGAGCACAGTTGACACTCTAGGAAGACTAAACTTGAGGGATTCTATTTAATGGGGTTTATAGTCTTCCTTTTCTGGAGTCTTCAATCTGGAGGTGTAGGTCCATCTTTCATTTTGATTTTGTTTTGCTTTGTCCCAAGACCAAAGACTATACCTTTGATCAGCTAAGCTGTCATACATACCATCTTGTGACTAGTTATGTCCAAATAAGAAGGTGAGGATAAATAATACCTAGCTACTAGGGAAATATTTCCACCACTCTGCAAGAAGCTTCCACAGGTGTCCAAAGAGTCAACTCCCATATCTTTATTTTGGAATTTAATGTAATTCATGCTCCACTGACTATTTACATATAGAAAATTCTCTGCTCTAGGAAATGTGGTTATTATTCCATTGTTATCCAACACACCACAGCCACCTTTGCTCATGTTATTCCCATGGGATCTCCTGCTTACCTTAGTCCATGTTTTCCTCAAAGTTTACCAAAGCCTAAACCTAAGCCTAATTTGTACTTTCTGTATAAATCTCATATTCCAGCGGTCTCTCCAGCAGCATTTTCTCAGTGTACTTACTGTACTGGGAAATCCATGTAGCCTCCAACTGCTTTTCAGTTACACTGAAATCTAACAATATGTGTGTGAATGTGGGACTCGTGCCTGCACCACAGGCTGCTGACTAAGGAGATCACATAGCAGATCATGATTCATCAACCCACTGAAATCCTTCTGCTTAGAGGAGGTCAAAGTTACTGGAGGAAAAACATCTTGAGAGGCAAAAATGGAGTGTCAGGAAAAGGAAAACACACACACACACACACACACACCCCTACACACACACACACAC